CTGAGAGATTCTGGCTACTGAAGTCTTTAGCGAAGTACTGACGATGCGGTCATTAATGTTGGGATGAGGGGAAAAATGCAGAGAATCCTACAAAGGCACAAAGTATACCTCCAAATCTTTTTGTAGAAAAAAATTTTGTATGTATGTATTCTCTTTTTACAAGCGTCTCCAGTCTTTCCCACAGCTTTCCTGGTTTTGGTATTGTAACACAGGCACGTTTTTGTTCAGAGCAAACAGAGTAAGTGGCTATGTTTAAAATAATTCCTTTACTTAATTTGGAAGTGTGCCTTTTCAGATAGAAAGTGATGAAACGTTACAAAGTGAGAACTGTTCAGTGTCATCATGTGGTGATGCACCAGGCAAAATAACTGCCCGAGTGATCATCTGAGTCCCAGCCAATTCCAGCTCAGTCTGTCACCCATCCATCCCACTTACCCTCCACATACAAAACTCAAGGATACATACCTGTTGTTGGCCAACTTGGCGATACTCAAATAAACACAAGGTATTATTTCGCTGCAGTTACAAGGCCTGAGTATTCACTGATGATAGTCGCATGTTTGTGTAGATCCATCCGGTAGTTGGTTAGAACTAAGAAACATATAAAAGAGAAATGACAGACAGGTTTCTTTGAGAATGTTTGTATTAATTTGGTATTTTTCACGCTTGCTGATTTTAATCTCACTGTATGACTACAACATTCCTTACAGCCCTATTTATGAATGGTGCAGTGCCTCTGGGAAGAAAAAAAAAACAGTTTATGAATTATACAGTAAGGGGTTTCTGATGAGAACCAAAAAAATAGTACTTCATACACTACATTAAAAGTGAAGATTGATACCAATACACCAAGCATTCTTATCCTATTGGTATTCATTAAAACAATACCATTATTCTTCGATTTAAGAGGTAAGCATCCAAGAGGGTATCCTTGGGATAGGAACCTACCTACTTACTGCAGATTCTCTAAAGACTCCCTGCAAGATGGGGAATAATACAAATATCTCAGTTCTGGAGCACATTGAATCAACAAAGGGAATTTACAAGACCTCACAAAGATGTTAGAATATTTGTTTCTTAAATAAAAGGATTTTAAAAGCCCTGAGCCTAGAAAATCATCTTCCCTGTTAGAACAGAGGGAATATTGCAGATTCATGTTTCATGTGAAATGTTTTACGAGAGTCTGACTCATTTTTCTCAGTCACAGCACAAAATCATGCACTAAGGGTAACCGAGAGGTGCCCAAGCAGAGAGCAACCGAAATGTCTGTGGTCCATCAGTTTACAGAGTTTTCTATTGCAAAATGAGAGCCCCTGTAATACATTCTAGGGGGGAGAAAGCATGATGTTCTTGCAGGTAGTGCAGTAATCAGAAGACCTGAAGTCTATTTGCAACACGGTATCCTCTGGATGATGTTGCATATGTAATTTATTTTCTCCATCTGCCTACAGAAAATAGTCACGGTTGCCTCAGCAGCTTGAGATCTGTAGATGAAGAATGCTATAATCAAAGCTAGATTTCATTCAGGTATTAGAATAGGAATCAAGAGAGGTAGAGCCATATGTCAGGTAAGTCATACGGGCCCTTATCTCATTCAGCTAAGCTCATCCTAAGCACTAAATTAAAACTAAGCCCGTATTTAAATCTCGATTAATTCAGTGTAAATCTAACTTTGACTCCCTGGGAGCACAAACTGGCTCTTCTGCACTGATGCCGTCTGTCTGCAAAATGAAGATGAGAATAATAAATTTATTTTACCTGCCCCAGCCATTCAGGATGTAAATTCTAAAAGGAAGAGATTTTTTTCATACTAGTGTATACTAGATTTTACCTAATTTTATTTTGGCTGTGTTCATGTTCCTCTGGTGGGATTTTCAGAATATTCTAACAGGCTAGCTGAGGAATGGGAATTTGGAGTTTGATATAACCGAAACTAAAAGTAGTGGAAGCCTTCAAGGCACCCATACGCTTATGTGTAATAGTGTAATCGCAGAATTCCAAATTCAGCAGCGTCTTCATCACATTTAAAACTTAAGATTTTTTTCATCCCGTTAGGAAACACAATCATAACGTGTTACCCATTTCTGTAATCAAAACAGCTCAAACATCAATTAGTACAGGCTATATATTTGCAATGAAAAAGCCACAGACCAAAAACTTACTTTCCAAATCATTTCTAGTTATGAATAACATTGAAGAAACCTACACTTTGCAGCCAGAAAAGGGGTGGAGATTTATAAAGTTTTTGTTACAGGCCAATCTCCTAACTTTGTGTCCGTGCCAGAAACGTCCCCAATTTCTATGCAGTGTGATGTGAGCACCAAATTTATATCTCTGATGTTACTTCATTGACTACCATCTGAAATGCCGTCCATGGCATTACCCTAAAGGTGAATGGAGTCTTGTGCCTTTTCATCTATTCTATTGCGAGTAAAAATACCATGAGACGGCATTAGGTAGAGTGCTTTCCCGCAGTACTGTAGCACTTAACTAGGGGAGGCCAAAACGAGGGAAAGCATGCCTCTGGGAGTAGGCAGAGAATTCACTGGGACAGGTGAAAGCTTAGAAGATTTTGCAACAGTAGATGCCATTGAGTACAGGAAACTTTTTTTGTTTATAAGTAGTGTTTTAAATAAAAATTTCAGACTAGAAATTAAATTTTAAACAACATAAGTGCCTCGGAGAACCAAGCTCTAAAGCAGTCCCTTAACGGGACTCCAGCGCAGCCTTTATTTTTTAATGTGAAGAAGGGAAAGGATTTGCCATTAAACTTTAAAAATAATCAAAACAAAAATCCTTTTTGTGGGCTGGCAGTATTACTGAGATCGGTTGTGTTCACTTAGTGGGTGTCCATCGGTGAGGAGAACGTCCTTATGTGCTACAGGGGTTAGATCCAAATCCAAATGTAAGCTTGCCTTGGCTTTCCTGCAGTCTGTGCTTTTTCAGTCACTTATGCAGAACTTCAGATAATTCATATCTGAATTACCTGCTCTTTAACAGTACCGTCTTAACCAGTGGCTTGTGTATAGACTGTTAGGGACTCACTGCTTTTAGAATATGAAATAAAAAAGGGCATGCAATACAACTGTATTAAAGGGAAGACCAACACTTGCTGTCGTTCCTATGATTTGCTGTGAAAAGTGTGACACACTTTTAAAATAAATACTGAACATTTTTTTGCTAGACAGTGACCCAATTCAGTACAACCCTAGAGAAAACTTAAAATGGCCATCTTCCTGCTCTGCTAGCCAAACATCAAAATTTTCTCGCCTGGAGAAGGTTGTGCAAAGAAGGGAAGATGTTATCCACTTTTTGCCTGCCGCCTTTTCCGTTTCCCTGAGTAGTGTGGACATTGTAGTAAGTAGGCTACGTACAGAATAGAAACAGAAGCTGCTGCAGTGAAAGCATTAAGGAAATAAAGTCCATTCATAAAGGACAAAGCCAAGCCAGTCTAACATCTGTAGGAGTAGTCCTTAGTGGTGGAGGCGCTCAACATCAACATCACAGCTGCTAATAGAGTGAGGTGTCTTTTAAACCAAGTCTTTAGGCCCTGTAACTGCCGCTACGCCAGTAATGAGAACTAAATGGAAATAAATGCGTAAGCAACGCTCCTTGATCCACACAAGGTTTAATATATGCTGATTAGCGTCAGTATTTCCAACAACAAAATTACGCCTTTCTACTCATCACTGGTGGATGCGTTCTCACAATGTTGCTGCTTACTTGGGTAAGGAAAGTCGTTTAGAAGTTGAACCTGTGAGTGAATGTACTGTGGTGTACACAGTGCATAGTTCCCATAAATTTAGCACGCAGGAATTTACTTCAGCAGCTACAGCTTTCAGTAGTTCATCAGTTTTGTTTTGCATGAATGTAATTCACCTTTCAGCCACCAAAGGCTTACAGTACAGGACTTGTATTAAAACAAAACTAGCACTGTAAAAGCACTCACCATGCTCCTGAAGCGGGGTGGGGGGGCTGGGGGGGGGGAACAGGGACGACTGGATATTTATACCAAAGTTTTCCAAGCCGTTCAATTGAGATATATATATCT